TAGCATTTTTACTTGAAAATTTGAATTCATATATAATTATTAAGTCCCAAACATTTTCGGCAATCTCGAAATTTCTATGATACGAAAAAAATTCTCGGCTCGACATTTTCGGATTTTCGCATACCTTTATAAATTATACTTAACTATTTACCCGTATTATTTCATTTACCTGTTATATCTATAACTTCACTCCTTCCAATATAATCTCGATAAATGGCCTGTAACAAGTGTGTACAAAGGCCAATGTTTTGGAAAGGTGGTAAAATTAATACTTGGGCTATACGAGGCCTGGTATTACTTGGATATGCATAATATTGATAAACGGTAGCAAACCCTGTGGTTGCATAACGAACGGTGCCATTCGTTGTTTGATATTTTTCAAACCTGTTCCCCAAACAATCTATTTCAAATAAATTTCTGACATGCAATGTATATGGAGTAAAGAATGAATTGCAATTAAACTTACATATTGAAGTAATGCCAGCGATCATCGTCTACATCTATAAAGTTAGCAGCATCTATATACCACAAAACAAACGTTTGAAGACGTTGATGGTACTCTCTGAACCCTTTGAAACTCATATCTGCTTTATAGACCTCAAAAGTCCTTGTACTTTCTCCATCTACAATCAATAAAACTATGTATAATTCTGCATAAAGTTGTATGTTACTTATTATGTAGGATATCAAATTACCATCGAGGGAAAATGAATGAAGCAGTTCACCATGTGGTCTAAACGTATCATCCTTCTTTAACGATTCAATAAATGAATCTATATTGTTATGCACTTGTGGAGCCAGTTTGTCAGCAATTTTTGGCAGCACTTCGTCGGCTTCGACTCCCTCGGAATGTGTCGTACTTACTTTCTCCGAAAAAGTTATACCCAAATAAGTTTCTAAACACCCTGCTGAATAATATAGCTTCACCCTCAGGTCCCGGTAACCAAATATAGATTCACTACAAATAAAACAGCTTTACGTATAAATGAAGTTAGAAAAATTAATACGAGCAGTACTAATCTATAAATTCTTGCGTTCTCCTTGCAAATGACAAAACATTAATGGAATAGAAACGTACCTATCTCCAAACACCTGATGAGACATTTCTGGTTTAAACGTGGTATCGTCGTCCTCTAAATCTTCAACGAATCGTACTAATTTAAATTCCAATGCATCGTTACTACTGACGACCAAACTTTTTAAACGTGCAGTAGTTGGATCTTCCATGTTATTAGACTAGCAATCAAGTAGATAGTATAAATCAATCTGTAAGACGGTAAAAATTAATATTCCACCTGTAAATATCTCACGTGTAAAATCAAATTTTATGTTACTATTTCACGAGAGGTATTAAGTAAGACTCGTATACAGGTTATACTGTACGTATTATAAGACAGAAACGAGTAATTCATCAAATTTATTTATCATTATAAAACAAATGAGATATAAAGCGTTTAATTAACAATGGATGAAGTTACATACTCAATTCTATAAGCTTTACGAATACGTTACGATTTCTGTGTTTTGAAGAAGTGATCCCAGTTTTACGACGTTACATCGAACGTTAACGCAATATTATACCTCGGACCGGTACGTTTGAATTAAATTTCGAAACACGCAGTATGATTTTAATTTCTTCCAAACATAACTGGTAAGTAACTTCGCGCCAAAAATAAAGCGGTTATTTAGCCTAGTTACAAGTTGCAATAACCGTTCCAAAGACTAGGAAATGATTGGACAAAAGCAAGGTACTGTCTATTTTGAATGTGCACGATCAAGTTTAAAAAACAAGTTATAATAATAGACATAACTTACTGACATTGGTAATTATACACTTATTTTTTAAAATATAAAAATACGCGAGTAAAAAACTGATCCTCCTATCTTTTTATTTAATCCGATATTTTTGTAAATATATCATATATACATATGACAAATAACAAATGAAATGTAGCTACACGTTTATGTTTAATATTTTAATTTATTTAAGTTTACATGGCTAGTTTTCGAGGTACATCGAAGATTCAAAAATGTCTACGGGTGAGGTAAAAAAAGTTGAAGAGCCTTTAATAATTCACACGTATCCCTTATGCAAAGTAAGATTTTACGATAAATCAATCGCATTTAAATATTATTCTGCAAGGGCTCAAATCGCTATTTAATTGTATATATAGTATAGCGACATGCGAGAAGATATGAAACAGGAAGCGATGGAGATGTGCGTTACTGCGACCGAGAAGTTCACGGATAATTATGAACTCGCGGCGCGAAGTATTAAAGATAATATGGATAAAAGGTTCGGCGGTCCGTTCCATGTAGTAATTGGGGAAGCGTATGCCTGTGCAATTACTTATCAGTTGAAATCGTTATTATATATGTATAACGCTGGCAATATTGCTATTCTTGTATGGAGAACGGTTTCTACTTTTTGACGAAAATATGTATATCACGTAAGAAAAATTGAAAGAAGTGTTCTTGTATGATAAAAAATGCTTCTATGGAGCGTAAATATGTAATAAAGTGTGAATTGTTTATAAAGAAGATCATGTTGTCTTGACCATCTGGCGGTAAAATAACAAATGAAATGTAGCTACACGTTTATGTTTAATATTTTAATTTATTTAAGTTTACATGGCTAGTTTTCGAGGTACATCGAAGATTCAAAAATGTCTACGGGTGAGGTAAAAAAAGTTGAAGAGCCTTTAATAATTCACACGTATCCCTTATGCAAAGTAAGATTTTACGATAAATCAATCGCATTTAAATATTATTCTGCAAGGGCTCAAATCGCTATTTAATTGTATATATAGTATAGCGACATGCGAGAAGATATGAAACAGGAAGCGATGGAGATGTGCGTTACTGCGACCGAGAAGTTCACGGATAATTATGAACTCGCGGCGCGAAGTATTAAAGATAATATGGATAAAAGGTTCGGCGGTCCGTTCCATGTAGTAATTGGGGAAGCGTATGCCTGTGCAATTACTTATCAGTTGAAATCGTTATTATATATGTATAACGCTGGCAATATTGCTATTCTTGTATGGAGAACGGTTTCTACTTTTTGACGAAAATATGTATATCACGTAAGAAAAATTGAAAGAAGTGTTCTTGTATGATAAAAAATGCTTCTATGGAGCGTAAATATGTAATAAAGTGTGAATTGTTTATAAAGAAGATCATGTTGTCTTGACCATCTGGCGGTGAACTGATGGAATAATCATTACATTACGGTCGATCGTCTTTTTTATTACTCTTTCGATGACCGAAGAAAATTACGATCAATTGTGATGTAAATAGATGTGATGGATGTGATGTTAAATTATCTGCGAATAGGTGCTGCATTGTTTTGATTATTTTAGTAAAATGGTAAGAGCAAATTGAATGTGGAGATTTGAAGGATAATTCGTCTGCGTCAGTTATAACAACGCGTTATAGATGTTTGTTTGTGTTTCGTAAAATCGTTTATCGAGTCACAATTATGCGAAAAATGTTTAAATATATGTGCATGTGTGTTTCATCACAGTTTCATCAGAAGTAAAAAAACACAATATTTATTATGAATTCACAAATGTCATTTGCTAGAAGAAGAAAGGAGAGAGAGAAAAACTATTTTTCAGATTAGACTAACATTGGCCATGCATAAAGACATGAGGCTGCGTGTAATTATTTCAATGGATATAATTAAAATAGTCGCAATTGACACGTAAAAATAACCGGTCTTCTTTCATCTGATTGCGCTATGTTTAATCGTAAAAGAAAGTTAGAGAAATGCAGTTTTTTAGCATTTAATTGCGATGTTTACAGAGTAGTGCACTCATTGCAGCAGGCTTAGGCCTCGCTGCCATCGGTTTTACCGGACGATATGTTCTCAAAAGGATGCCACAGCTATCTCAAAGAATGGCAGAAGCTTATAAGAATATCCCAAAATTAGATTCGCAGGTAGGAACCTCATTATCACTTCATAAATTTGACATTGTAATAAAAATTGGAATTTATTTAATGAGACATCTAAATTTAGTCATTAGCAAATAGTAAATATTACAAGGGAGGCTTTGAATCTAAAATGACTAGGCGAGAAGCCAGTTTAATATTAGACGTATCACCAACGGCAAATAAAGTAAAAGTAAAACAGCAATTCAAGAAGATAATGGCTGTAAATCATCCCGATAAAGGAGGATCACCGTACATAGCAGCAAAAATTAATGAAGCGAAGGACTTGCTAGAAAAATGATTTATGTATTAACTAGATACAGACGTAGAGGTATTGTACATGAGATTCACATTACAGCCAGCTTGTAAATTTGATTTCGTTAAGTAAACACTTCGTGTACATATTTTAGCAACATAATGTGATCTTATATTTCATTTAGTTTGTATAAATAAACATATTCATACATATTTCTGGTTCATAATAGTATTAGGTCTCTCTGATACTGGATTCGTATTTACAAGAACACTGTAGAAGTAACGTCATAATATATAATATTACGCAGCATATTCGTTTCTCAAGAATTACCATAAAACAATATATTGACTAGAGTTTCCCAATAGAGAAAATGATTTCACTTTCTATTATTATTATCGTCCTAGTTTTTTCTCGTTTTGCTCAGCGCGTTGTCGCGATATTTTTGTTCTCAGTTTAAAAATCGTGCTACCAGGTAGTGATCCAGGTACTTTAAATATACTCTAGAAAAAAATAAAAATATTTAAAAACGTCTGATCATATTTGCTAAAGGACACTTGGACCCCATGGAGCGAATAACAAAAACACAAAAAAAAACATATTTACCTGCATGAAGTCATGACATTTTAAAACAATACTGTCTTTTGTTATCTCTTTAAAGCATTCTGCTAGTGTTGTGAAATCTTGACAAGCAAGCAAGTTGCACTTGTTCCTTTTTATCAGAGTTAATGCAACACGAAATATAATCTTACTGCCTTCGTAAAAAAGGCAATCCCATATACGCAGCGTAGTCTGCCAAGTTGTAAATATTTTATTGAGTACTTCTATAGTTTACGGCAATCCAAACAGGTATTAATCGGAAATGTTAAACTAAATGAATGACTCAACTGTGCACACCGTATATGACAATGTTAAACGACATTAAAACTTTTTACATTGAATATACACATGAAATGAACTTTACCTCGATTGGTAGCACCTCCGCGAATAAACAGACAAACCATTTCGTTGTAATTACTGGCCACGGTAAGCCTATATTGGTTACATGCTGATAAATATCTGGCATTTTAATTCTAAAATAACATTCGTGATTTAAGAAGCACGTATCATTTTTAGATTTATATAAAGAATATAAGAGCTTAATTACCTAACTAATTCCGCGAGGACGTCGATATCTGTAAGGAGGCCGTCCATTGTCGGTGTATAATATTCAGGTAAAATTCTTTCTATTAAAACTTTCAACAGCCAAAAAGCTGTTTCTTCGCTTTTTGTGACGAGCAGTAATAAACCTGCTATATAATTCAAGCCCTAAATATTTATTAACAACCCCGTTAAAAATAAAATGCACGTACACATATATTTACTATTATAACTTAAAGATGTATGTACTTACTTGACAGTATCCTACTGCTTTATTTTGCTGAGCAAATGCTAAGAGAACATTATACAATTGGTGTTGTTGATTTTCTGTATTGTTGAAAAATATATTGTCAGGAAAAGTTCTTGGCAGATCAGTTTTAATAATATCCGCGACTTGCTTGTTATGCGGAGGCTGTAACAGCTTTTGATAAAGATCTGGGTCTGCATTCTTTAATTCCTCCCCACCACTGACAGAAAGCCACACCTTCAAAAATCATGTTTTCCCTTTTATATTTAGAATATGAATTAAGACATAAGATGTTCTACTTACTAATCCTCTGTGCTCTCCTGGTATTCCTTTTCTGACATATCTTTTCACCGTAATATTGCGTTGTAAGGACTTCCCTTCTCCAATGATTTCGGACCATTTCTTTGCCCTTTTAGCAAGCACTTTGAGGTACTCTGACATAAAATCTTCGTAGGTTTCATAGTCAAAGTCTTGGGGTCTTTCAAAGCCATATTCATCCACATTACTAATAATTTTTATTAGAACATTAAAACGATGAACATTCTTGAAACAGGCCAGTTTTGGTAATAAAAATAAGATAAAACATAGAAATAATATAAAATAACAATAGGTACATCGTAATAGCGAAAACTTATTCCTCTTGTAGCAATAAAATTATGAAATATCTGTAAGAATATAATTTGCAATAAAAATTGTTATATCTTCTCATTTTATGTTAACAAATACTATTGTATTCGTAAAAACATAACCTTATTTAAATGAAAATAAAACTAAAGTAACATGCAATATTCCTGTGTATGTCATATCTTTTGTTATCAGTTTTCGTATGTACGTTCGTAGAACAAATAAAAAATTACGACGTTACCGTATTTCATGGAATGTAAAAAACGTAAAATGCTCACCTGAAACATGAACTTGCCATACCCCACGCAAGACGATGCTGACATATAATTTCTGCTGTATATAAGGTGACCAGCAAACTTTTCTCAATTTCGAGTTTATCATGTAGCAACAGCATAATCAAAAATGTGAAATTATAACGGTAACAATGTATCGTTGTGAACAAATAATTTATTCACCTAATCTATTCTTTGAACAAGTCGCGCTGACCAAATTACAATTCTATAATTAATTTCTATTTCTATTATACCTTCGGGTATTAAATTTTGAAAATTGATCGATGTAGGATTGAAACAAAATGAGGATGAGTTTTAAAAATCGCTTCGAGGATTGATGTCTTATGTAACAAACATATTTCTTTATCTATTATTTAGAAAGTACAATATCTTATTTGATACACTTGAAGTATATATGTATATATTACACTTATGCATTATACATAAGTTCATGTTATAAATTTTAGAGACAACATGAGATACGAATAATTGTTACCAAACAGCCTCTAAATGTTAATCTACTTGATTTGAACGTAGTACAACTTTAATAGCAATTGTGTAAAACAATTCTGTGAAATGATAAAGTTTTGAATGAGTTTGAGCGCACGCACGTGTTTCTTCACGCAACGTTAGCAACGACGCATGTGCAAGGAATTCTTTTGAAGGGACAAATTTCTCAGTCTGGCAAGAGTGGTCAATACTCGATATTGCGGTACCACATGGTAACGGAGGTAAAATGGCGTTAACTGTTCCTTGTGTTGCTGGTAAGCACTTTCCCATTGTTTTCATTACCACTCTATCCGATTTTACATGACGTTTCATTGATATTCATTTCACAAATGACTTAAATATTTGTTAAAAGTATACCCGTTCCACTATAACACGTCGTAGTGTATCACGAATGACTGCTCAGAAATGCATCATGTGGCATTACATTACTTTAACAAAATTATGATTAAAAAATCCGTGGTCTGACGGTGCATTATTAGAACGCGATGTTTACATATGTTTATCTATGATGCTTATTTCTGATAGTTTCGTACAATATTTGTAATTATTTTGATCTACATCATAGATGCATGTGATTTTATGGTTTTGGACACCTGCAATTCTTGCCATTCCTAATACCAATGCATGAACATTCGACTGTGCTTAATTCTAAGATTGAAGATAAAAAGAAAACTCATTGTTTTAATGATTACTCATTGTATTAATGATTTTCTGCAGTGAGAGGTTCCATCGGGATCAGCGTAGGACAAGGTCCACCGTCTTACGAACCAGTAAAGGCATTCCCTAAAGATGACAGTAAAACGTGTAAAGCGATGGCTTTTAGTCCAGAAGGGCGTTACTTTGCTTGGGTTAATGGAACAGCTGCCAAGATTGTCCACTGTTCTACATGGAAAATTATTACAGAAATCAAAAGGCCAAAAATTTCAGCTATTTCTTTCTCCACTCGAAGCACATATTTTATGACATGGGAATCATTCACTGGTATTACATTCCTCTTATATAATGTCTCTTTCAATGTTTATTTCTTTTACTTCGTTTTCGCTTCATTAATTTCAAATTGCTTNTATTTAGTGTGCATCATCATTTACATTGTTGATTCATATATTCCAGCAACACTGTCAAACCCGCAAGGAACGCCAAATCTTAACATATGGAAATCAGAAACCGGAGAACTAGTGAAGTCTTTTATACAGAAAAAGCAATCAGATTGGTAATGTATCAAAATTTTGTATTTTCAACTTGAGATTTATGTTAAATTATGCAATAGTTTGTTCCTGTTTTACGTTCCTTGACGTACGTTCATAGAAGAAGTAAAACATTAGTTCGTATAAATAATTTACATTCCAAAAGATACTTTAATTTGACTTGAAGAAACGTAATGGAAAAATTTAATCCTGAATAAGTAACAATTATTAATTATATAGTTACATCTGTATATCTATTTAGGGAACCTCAATGGACAAGTGATGAAAAAGTTTGTGGATTGTTAATTGGTGCAGATGTCATTCTGTATGAGGATGTCAATTTTAATAAAATTATGTACAGAATAAATATAGCCAAAGTCGCTAAATTTAGTATATCGCCCAGTAATTCGCCATATTACATTCTCTGTTATATGCCGGGTAATTAAATTTTGTTGTATTCATTTAATATTAATTTATGTAAACATTTATTAAGGTACTTATATGTGGAGAGTATGTAATTTTCTTAGTTCCCCCTTCAATAGAGTAGATATAATTCTTAGTGCTTCCATGACTAGGCTAAGAGAAGCGGTGTAAATGTTAATGTAACGGATAATGTCGCTTTGAAAATGATAATTATTCCGGTCGATTAAAATATATAAAGTGTTTATTTACTACTATAGTTCAACCGTAAGTCAAATAAAAATTGGCATATTTTATGAAGTACTTTTTTATTTCAGTTTCTCTCATTATGAAGCAAATATGTGTGGCACAAGCATGTAATACACAGATGGAATGAAGATTATAAGACAATTAAATCTGTAGAACACTTTAATATTTTAAAGAAGTACAACTGAATATTAATACGTAATGGTACTTTGCAAAATATACAAGTATAAATGTGTAATCAGGATCAACAGTAATCGGAAATTTTCCTGATTATTGCATGCTCATTTTTATCTGTAAGTACTTTTAACAAAGTTTTAGGGAATGATCAAGTATATGTAACAGGTAATTACAATCTATTGTTTAAAAACGCGTTTCGTCGATATAAATGAAATTCAGTAGAATAAGAAGTTATGTCCTCTTAAAATTGCAAGACGATTAAATACTCTCCACATTAAATACCAAATTCTGTTGCACTGTACTGCGTGCAATAAATTATGATTGTAGGTATTAGATAATTTATTATTTATGATAACCAGTGCTGTTGTATTATAGGGAAATCTGATCAGCCCTCGTTCGGTAGGCTGTTCCAATATCCAAAGTTTGATTCGACACAAGCTTTGGCAACTAAAAGTTTCTTCCAGGTATAACATTATTTATTAATAGAGGCTTCGTTTTCATTTGCGTGCATGAAATAATGAAACTCTCGTTCCTATTAGGCGGATAGAGTAAACATTTTATGGAATAATAATGGAACAAATGTTTTATTAATGACTAGTACAGAGGTTGATAAAACAGGCGCTTCATATTACGGGAAACAGACTCTGCACTATCTTAGTATAAAAGGAGACACTGCTATGGTTACGCTTAGTAAGTTCCAGTTGAATTGCTGACATCGTCGAGTATATTTCGTTTCCTCTATTTTCATGATTTCTTTGTAAAATTAGGTAAAGACGGTCCTATACACGCTGTCCAGTGGTCACCGAAAAATAATGAATTCTGTGTTGTATACGGTTTTATGCCATCGAAAGCCACGTTATTTAATCTTAAATGCGAGCCAATATTTGAGTTTGGTACTCTGCATCGAAATAGCATTTATTACAATCCCCAAGGGAACAATATCCTTTTGATTACTTTTCAGTCTACTACTTATTTTCAATTATCTAATTTATTTATTTACGTAGTTAGAATTCTTTTATCGTTTGTCAGCGACTCTATTTCCTTAACCACGTTGCACTTCTAATTTTAACTGGCTTTGGCAACCTCCGTGGTGGTATCGAATTGTGGGACGTTGGTAATAGAAAATTGATCGCTAAAACTGAAGCACCTGATACAACGCTCCTTCAGTGGTCACCGGACGGTGAACATTTCATGACCGCGACTACAGCACCCAGACTTCGAATGAGCAACGGGTACCTAATAATATTCTCTAGTTAACCGTTGAAATTTGTCTTATACGTAATTTCCTATGCAGATTCAAGATTTGGCATTACACTGGAACTTTATTATATGAACGACCATGGAACGAGCAAGAAGAACTTTGGGAAGTCGCATGGCAGACTTTTCCTCCAGATGCATTTCCAGAGAAACCAATTAGTTACAAGGCTGTTGAAGGCATTGCACCTAGCCAGCCACAAGGTATATTTTCGGTATCTCCTATTAAATAAATTAAGCTACATCTTTTACATTCCACGTTTCTTCTTCGCAGCATCAAAACAAGCGTATCGACCACCTTCCGCGAGAGGGGAAGGTAACAGTTTTAAATTGCGCGATGATGAAATGTTTAAAGATAAGAAAAAAACACAGAAATGTAAGATAATTTTGATTGTAAAGCACGAACATCTGAATCGTTACGCATACGCTCAGTAAACCGCTTTTTTATAGCTACGGCGAAAGCAAAAAATAAAAAGAAAAAGGATGCGAAAGAATCTGACGCATCGACATCCTCTCATTTAAGTAATCCAAGTACAAATGGACAAGTTAATGCGAATACAGAAGCACAGAATTTAACCACGAACGTTCCTGAGTCCGACGATTTGGAGAGGAGTAAGAAAATAAAAAAAATTAAGAGCGTAAGATTTTTCTTTTCTCAATACGTTTGTAGGTAGAAAGAAGCAGTCTTAATTAATAGTAATCTTAATTGATTTCTTGCAGAAACTAGAACAGATCTCGAAGTTAAAGGAACTACAAGTAGCTGGAAAGCAATTAGAAATTAATCAATTGGACAAGATTAAGAAGGAAGCTGATTTAATGAAGGAACTGGAGGACCTCGCTTTATGATGAACGTTTATAATCGCCGATACACTTCTGATGCAAACAGAAAATGATCTCTCACATACGACGACACGCGTACAGAAGATACGTTTGGCTGTAAATAAAATTTTCATTCTCCGAAGAGGTAGTGGGAACAAACTAAATTTTCAAAACGGATTAAACAGGTTTCCACGTTATTGAGGTTGTTAAAATTCTAAATATAAATTCCATCTCATGAGCGATGACAAAGGAATCAATATGGCCCATCGCTACATTTTTTTTTTTTTTAATGATTGTAAAAAAGAAAATTATGCGTTTTATTTTTGATTGTCAGAGTTTCCATTCTGATATTTCTAAATCGCTAAGCGCTAAGGGATAGTAATACGATAGTCTAATAAAGACCAAGCTTCCTTATTATGTAGTACCGTACAAGAGTTTTTGCACTGTAAGGAAACTTATTTACGATCAATAAGTGAGAAATTGTACGGGATGAACCACGTCATCTCGCGAGTCAATAAAACGTTCAGTTGCAATTTCACAGCTTGTACGGTTTATCCTGTGCGAATTGCACAACGCGATGGAACGTTTGAGATAGGAAGATCATGCAATTATAAAGTCAGAAATTTGTTCCTCGCATTGGATTTGCACATGAAATCTGTTCCTCCAGTTCCGTTTATGAACATCTACCAGGAATTAAAAATAGACACATTTCGTGATTTCGTAGCTGCTGCAACTATTTCACGATTATCGTGTAGGTATCATCGAGAACTTTTACGTCTTATACATCTTTTGTTGTCATTACGTTTAACATTCAAACTTTATACCTTCCTTTCAATAAAAGATTACAAGACTGGTTGAACTACGAATACTTGGCACAGATTAACGAATAAATGAAAAGAAAACTGCCAAAAAATTAAACTACATTCGACGATTAGAAAACTGTTTTTAAATAATAAAGAAAACTTAGCTTCTTTGAATTAATCGATTCTCTTTAAAGTGTTCTAAAAATACGTTCAAAGTTTGCCCTTGATTATTTTTCAGACTACTCTAGAAAGTTTAATAGTTATCCGGTATTTCTACGTATAATTATTATAATAATTGTTGTATTACTTGTTTTAATTTAATAATTACTAACACCTCTAACGTTTTTAAGTTTACTTGAACAGTCGAATTTGTACAATGCGAATTGTACAAATTGAAGAGGAAATAGAATATATATTTTCTACCTTCTTTCTAATTCTTTTAATACAATGAATAGAAAATAAAACGGAATCATTATAGTGCCAGACGCGCTAACGATTTTCCACGAACTTAAGATTATAAAAATTGTGTATTATCAATTCTAATATGTACATTCAATATGTATAAATTATTACTTATAATTATGAGTGATGGGTATACCGTAAAATGAAGTACACCAAAAAAAAAAGGTCGCAATCGCCAATGTTGTGTATATTTAAGTGAAATTTATGAAAATAAACTACTAAAGAAGAATAAAAAGATCGATAACACGCAACACATGTTGATGAAATCGTATACTTCCTGTATACATTCGACTTAATATTATTGCCTCCAACTAAAAATTTTAATTTATCATCTGATCTATCGGTCACGTCCATAATGTCGAAATTAATATTTGAATGAATACGTCGGTTACTAAAGGAACGTATTCATAATACGTGATTAAATTTAAAAAATAAGGGAAGGGTAAAAGGCAGCGAACGTAACGACGAACGAGGGTTGAGAAAGTAACGTACGTACACGATGAATAATTGAATTATCATAGATAAATGAAGTTCAAGTACGCTAAGGGAATTGATTAAAAGATTCTCGAAGCGTAGGAGGAATATCGTCGATGAAGAACGGTTTTGATAAACGAAAGAAAAGAGCGGCGGAAACAGAAGGGGTTGAAAGTACTAAGCGCGACGATCGAGATTGAATGATCGAGGTGTGTGACGAGAGAAGCATCGTGAACGTAGTGTCAGTGGATACGGTGGTCGTTTTAACTCGAGGAACGACGGTAGCGCCGTAAGATAGCCGTGTTTACAGATTCGCCAGTGAGTTCTACAACGTCACGTCAAAAAGTGCAACAAATTTCTACCACCATTTACTATGTAAAGGTGCGTTTCCCGATCGAAGTTTGACGCTGTAACCGGTGATAACGGGCAGCATCTGTGCGCCGGCAGACAGTTAGAAACGAATCGGCGTTGACCCGCGGACAAAATTTAAAAAGGTTTTCTTTAATACGGCAATGCTAATCGTTAGGACGGTCGCCATTTTGTCCGGAGGTGGCCCGGTTGAGTGAACGGGGCGAAAATAGTTGTTCTCTGGACACCGAGGATCGTTGAAATTGCATAGGTACCGGTTGCGTGGGATCCTTTCACTTATTTCTTAATTACCGAAACGAATCCGACGGCCGCGGGGGAAGTGCACGGCCACGAAATAACGTCGAGATCCCTTTCTCGTCGCCGCTCGATGTTGGTCCTTTGTAAGCACGCCGTACATGTATTTCGCATAATTCCGAGCTAATTCCCCGACGATCTGTCGCGAGACTCTTCGTTTGGCGATGTTTCCCCGTGAACGGAAAGTGCGCCGGGGTTGTTGCTCGCCTCCCGATTCTAATTATCGACGGTTGACAGTTCGGTACGTTCCGACGGTACACCCGTGAAATAAAAAGAGGTGGCGAGAGAAAGAGATATCGCGAGGAGAAGAGAACGAGACGGAGAAATAATTCGCGACATGACGTCGTACCTTTCGTCAATTGCGAAATCCCGAAGGAACACGGACCCTTGGACGTGATTTTATTAGCTTCGCTATCGGTTCCGTGCGATCGGTTGGCTATTAACGTTTTTACGGAACCACCGTTCCCGTTGGTCAACACGAATAATTGGCATTCGTTCGGCTGAAACCTTAGCAAGATCATGCTGTCATGCGATGCGACAGAATGTGCGAAACGTTCTTCCTTATCTATGTTCTTCCCGTGGCCTCTATCAAGTTCGCTCTCCGCTCTTCGGCCACGAATTATTGACGGTGACCGGTGTCCCTCGAGACGAGCTCGAATTACGCTCGGTTCTTCTTCTTACTCTGCCGTTCGTCCAGCCATCCTAATTATCCAGTTTATGTACTTTTATACATTTCTCTAAACGTTTCTCGATCGTTTCCGTATTTTCCATAAGTAACACTACATAAAATTGCACGCAATAAGTAACGTCGGCGTAAAGCCATCGAGTTTTCAACAATTTTTCAACAATTTAGTCGTCTACCGCCTGAACAATTGTTACAGTTTCTCGATTAATAAATCAGCGTCTATCGAAATGTTTAATTAATCGAACGATTATAGTAGTGTGTCTAAATTTTTAATTTGGTGTAGAAATTGTTTCATTTGTTTCAGATAATGTAGGTATAGTTTAATTCAAACAAGGCCTTTAGAGTATAATTATATTTAATGTCAGTGAATGAGTTGGATGGTTGTTATTGGTGGTGCAATTATTGGACCAAGCGGTATTGAGACAATTGGAATATAGCAAAGAGCACACAAAATGACGATCGCCACAAGAGGCCAAGGAGTTGGCATAGACCCTCCTGACAGCCAGCAAAGTACACAGGTATAATTACTTTTACTTACGCATTAATTATGTTCAATTTATGTTTGAAGTAATGTTTGCAAGTTGATAAATGTTGATATCGTTGTTACGATAGATGCATAGTCCACCGGGTCCCCAACAATTAGCTGACACGATGTCAGGACTTCAACTCACAGAGAATGTGGTACAAACAGAATGCACCAATGATACCTTAACTTCAGTAGAAGATAGCAATCAGCTTCATGGAGAGCCTGATTTTCCTGTTGCAAAACTCAATATACTTCATGAAAAAATATCTAGTCCGCGATGGGTTGTACCAGTTCTGCCAGAACAAGAGTTAGAGTGCCTGTTACAAGCCAGTATCGAACTTTGTAAAAAAGGTTTGGAACTGTTTCATAAAATATACGCGTGCAACGTGACGATTCACTTTGTTTCCCGAATTTAATGGACGGCCGATTATCTGTTATTTATTTAGGAATTGATGTACAAAGTGAAGCGTGTCAGCGCTTTTTTCGAGAAGGACTCACGATTTCTTTTACCAAAATATTGACTGATGATGCAGTAAGTAGTTGGAAATTGAACATTCAAAATTGTATTAGTGCAAACTGTGAGCGGTTGGTGGATTTATGTATCCTGAAATTAGATGAGGACTGGTTTCCTCTTCTCGATTTGCTGGCAATGGTTTTTAATCCTAGTAATAAGTAAGTTGTACATATTTCTTCTATCGGATTAATTAAACTCTAATTGAAATTAATGTTTTGAATTCTGAACCTTTCAGATTTCATACGTTTAATGCTGCAAGAGTTTCGGAAACTGTTCCTCCAGGCAGTGATATTCCTGACGAACAGCTTTATGCCCGGCCACCTCCTGATTCGAGAAGTCCTCGTGGTTGGCTTGTGGATCTCATAAATAGGTTCATAAATATTGGCGATCTTCACTGCTTCTTATTTCATACATGATGTTTGCAGCGTCTTTCTCTTTGTGTTCACAGGTTTGGAAGTCTTAACGGATTTGAAATTTTGCTCTCTAGATTTCAGAGCGGCCGAAATTTAACAGTACCAGTTATTTATGCTTTAATCAGACCGTTCGGTTTGTGTTACGAACTACTTACTGTTCACACAATAGTTAAATATCTTATGCCTATTGTGGAAATGGTGCCTGTAATTTTGAATAATTTGACTGACGAGGAATTAAAGAAGGAGGCGAAAAACGAATCAAAAAACGATGCGATATCAGCCATAATCAAAGCCTGCAAATGTTTAGTGTCACGAGTGCCGCATCAAGAGGAGATGATTAAAAATCTAGGGATTCTGAGACTGAAGATGATACTGAGACTTTTACAAATTTCTTCATTTAATGGAAAAATGAATGCCTTAAATGAAGTAAATAAAGTAATCGCCACGGTTAGTTTTTACCAACATCGAAACGCGATCGTTGAGGAAGAAGAATGGCTCACTGCAGAATGCATGGCTGTAAGTTTATACTCGATAACTTAATTCATATTTTACACATCGTATAGTTTATTAGAAAGTTATTCACTTTGTTCAATATTAGAAATGGATAAAGGAGAACGGAGTGCTGGAAATCGTGTTGAGGGATTCGTTACATCAGCCTCAATATGTTGAAAAGTTGGAGAAGATTTTACGCTTTATTATAAAGGAACGAGCATTAACGTTAGAAGATTTAGACGCCGTTTGGGCTGCACAAGCTGGGAAACACGAAGCGATCGTGAAAAATGTTCACGACTTGTTGGCCAAACTCGCTTGGGATTTCAGTCCTGAACAACTCGATCACTTATTCGAATGTTTCCAGGTATTTATCAGCATCAAATTGCTTTCATGTCTTTATTTCTATAACCATAAGTTAATCGAATTTGTTTACATTTTAGATGAATTGGAAAACAGCCAATAAAAAGCAACGAGAAAAATTATTGGAATTAATTCGAAGACTAGCAGAAGATGATAAAGATGGTGTAATGGCACACAAGGTATTTATAAACCCTGTACTAGTTAGGTAAATCGAGTTAAATTCATCAAATGAAGATGTATTTCTTTTTATATAATACTAGGTGTTAACTCTGTTCTGGAACTTGGCTCATTCCGATGAGGTACCCACAGAAATTATGGATCAAGCGCTAAACGCTCACGTGAAAATTCTCGATTACTCGTGTTCACAAGAAAGGGACGCTCAGAAAACAATTTGGCTAGACAAATGCGTGGAAGAGTTAAAGAACGGAGATAAGTGGGCTCTTCCTGCTTTGAAACAGATTCGGGAAATATGCTGCCTTTACGAACCAAATCCTAATATATCATGTCCTCAACGAAATCATCATTATAGGTATCATTTATTTACACAATAGTGCGATTTATGTTGAATTCGGCAGGCACCCACTGACTCAATGCTAGTGTAGCACCGATTACGTGCGGTCGATTGTAGTTGAAAGAGAACATTAATGAAATTTACGGCACCGAGTTTGCACTTATTGCGCACTAGTGCGGGTCGCCGATTTCACAGTATTGATACAATTCCTGTACCTTTTATCATTATTTATTTATTCTTTCATGTAGACAAGATGTCATAGAACGACTTCAAACTGAACATTCTGCGGTGATTCTCGTGACGAACAGTTTAACGAACTATATGGATAAAATGCGACAATTGGTTAAAGAAAATCCAGACATTGACCCGAATACCTACATGCACGACGGCCGTTATAATCACATTATGCAAGTACAGGAGAGACTTAATTTCCTACGCTTCTTGTTGAAGGTAACTTTTATATTCATTCATTACGGGACGAAGTTTTCATTTGATCCTCGCGATTTAAATGTATATCTATTTTCCGTAGGACGGCCAGCTGTGGTTGTGCGCAGATCAAGCCGAGCAAATTTGGCAGTGTTTAGCGGAACAAGGTGTGTTCGTTTCCGATCGCGAGGCGTGCTTCAAGTGGTTTTCCAAATTGATGGGAGACGAGCCAGATCTTGATCCAGCAATAAACAAGGACTTTTTCCAAAATAATATATTGCAATTAGATCCGACGTTACTCACGGAAAGCGGTATTAAATGTTACGAGAGATTCTTTAAAGCCGTTAACTCGAAGGAAGGAAAATTGAAAATGAAAAGAAGAACATTTCTCATGGATGACGTTGACCTAATTGGTACAGATTATTTGTGGAGAGTAAGTGTATACTTGATATTGATTGTTGTAAACTGATTTTTATATCATCGTTAGCATGGATTTTTGACCAGAATAAAATATTTATATCTATATGTATAGTAATCCTAAGAAGAATTAATAATGATAAAAATTGGAAAGAGTGTTTCAGTACAAAACTCAATTTATTTGTCTGGGATCATCGTTTATCGGATTTTTTTTTACATATTTTCCTGTTTATTTAGGTAGTGACCAATAGTCCCGAAGAAATTGCGAATCGAGCTATAGAATTGTTGAAGGAAGTAAACACTAATTTAGGCCCACGACTTCAGTCGTCGGTCTTTGCGTTTCACGTGACGTACATAGGAGAATGCATGGACCGATTGAAGGCGCATTACGATACTGTGTCTGTCTTAAGCAAGGTATATCTTGAGGGGAAGGAAGAACGTGAAGAACAGATGTCAAATAAGATTAAAATCGAAGCTATGAAGATGTGTCGCGTTATGAAGGTGTTACAAGAATACATAAACGAGTGTGATACCGCATTTCCAGGCGAACGGAAAATATTACCGCTGCACAGGTATAGACAGTGACGTTGATCCGTAAACGAAAACATACTTTATATTGTATTAAAAAAGTTCTCTATATGATTACAGAGCAGCTCGTGGGAAGCACTTGTCCCTCATTATTCGATTCGCGAATCCTGGCAATGTGGACGATATCGAAATATTTACACATAGTAACGACACACTGGGATCATTAAGACGACAAATATTACGCAGAATTAAGACCAACAGATCAAACGTAAAACTGGACTTATTTCTTAACGGAGAACTCCTGGAGCCAGCAGATGATAGAAAACTTCTCTCTCAAAGTCCATTAAGAGACAAAATGGTATGTATCCATTTCTGTCTTTTCGATTGTAACGAACTGAAAGAATAATTGACAGAATACATCTACTATATATTTTTTTGTACAGTTGTTGTCTGCGAAACTAAGCCAGGTAAATAGCAACTTGCCAAGCTCACCGGATAGCAGTTCGGATAGTTCTACTAGTTCTCCACACCATCCATACGATGGGCTAAACGTAGAAGCAGAAAATAGTTTACCAGGCGTGGTACGTATTAATATCTTTAAAACAGAAAGCACGTATAATTTCATAGGCACATAGAAATTGGCATGTCTCTGTTGCAGGTGATATCACAAAAGTCGCAGTACGCTACATTCTTCTTTCAATTAGCGGACCTTGGATGCACTCTTCAACACGCGCAATTACGCGACGGTGCAAGGAATCTATTACAACTGGTGCCACCAGACACTCTCACTGTATCACGATTACAGTCGTTATTCGGCCACTGTAAAGACGACGAAAATTTAGATAATGCTCTTTGTAATGAACAAAATACTACAGTAGATTCTTTATTTTTTACCGCAAGTTCTAGCCAAGTTTTATACAATTTAGAGGTAAACTTTCCCATTCTGGCTTACGTACGTTTTCGCTTATAAAGACACATTTGACAACGTGTTGTATTTATTTCAGGTTTTATATAGTTTATTAATGCCAGCTTTGGATCCAATGTCGGAAAGAGCGTTTGAGTTCCAATGCAATTTCATAAAGAGCGGCGAAGCTGGCGTTATCCTCGAAATGTTAACTAAAAACAAATTTTTACCAAATGCGGATGAAACTACGAAACGAGCAGCGTATCTAACGGTGTTGAAACTGTGTAAACTACTGCTAACGATAGTGGGCAACGTGATGGCTTGCGTGATGGACGAAGTGCAGCAAGCCGGAATTTCGGAGAACCATGATAATCATGCTCACAACAATCGGGGCCCGATAGCGGTTTTGAAGCAAGCTTTACAAAGCGTACCTAATCAGAACACCGAGTACATGTTGAGAAACGTGGCGGCGAAATTGGCTCAGCATTTAGCGCGTCGGATGCTGTGCGGTTTAACAGAGTCCGATAAATGTCGACAGCTTTTTATGCAGGCTCTTTCTTGGGAGCTACCGGACGTAGCTACTATTCGTGCCATAATTAGGCTAGCATGGGCGGCATCCACGGGCAATCTGAACAATATTAACGTGTCCGCCGAGACGCTTCATACTCTCCACGAAACGAACGAAAAGGAAACAGTAAACCCTGACAATAACGACGTGTTAGTATGTAAAGAAGCATTAGAAGTTTTGACAATCGCCTTGGTACTGAACCCGACCGCGCTAGAATCGTTGTCAAGGGATAAGATGTGGCATACGTTTTTGATAGACCTCGTGCTCCTCAGCACGTCGAGAGTGGTCAGAATGGCTGCGGCTGAACAGTTTTTTCTTATATCAACATGGTACAGTAGCGGTCATCAGCCGTTACTGTTTGCGATAACGCTGCTCTTCACCGTTTTGAACACCACCGTTATGGACCACGCGAAACAAAGCCATGAGTACTTTCAGCTTTTGTGTAGACTGCTAAACTTCGCGCATATGTCGGGATGCCCCTTGTTAACGGCCGAGACGTTACTGAACATTGAGATAGCGTGGCTGAAGAAAGTGCGCGCCAACGTTAAAGAGACGGGAGAGAGTCAAGTCGACGAGGCCGTCCTTGAAGGTCACCTCAGCCTCACTAAGGAGCTGCTCGCCTTTTTGCCTCCTAGTAAAAAATACGAACTCGGATCCGACGAGAAACAGGGCACGAATTTGATCAAAGAGCTGGTCGAGGACTTCGTGTTCCCAGCGTCGCGTCTCATGCTGCAGCTTCGTAGCATTGGAGAGTTGAGCGCTTCGCAGGCGTGCCCAGTGTGCACGACGCCGCAGTCGACTAGCGCGGCCTTTGATTTACTCGTTGGTCTATGCGTAGGCTGTGTACCTAACATGAAACTTCTAGTCACAATGCTCACTGATATGTTCTATTCTGAAAGAGACGAACCGCTAGTGGAATGGGATTACTTGCCGCCGGTCGGACTCAGACCTTTGAAAGGTTTCGTGGGTTTGAAAAACGCTGGCGCGACTTGTTACATGAATTCAGTATTACAACAATTGTACATGGTCGAGAGTATAAGGGTCGGGCTTCTCGCGGCTGAAGGTGCTGCGACCGACTTGAACGAGGATTTCTCTGGCGAAGAGAGGATCGAGGGGGAACAAACGATAGAGGCAAATGATAACGACACGAACGAAGAGAAATGCGGCGCTGATGAATCGCGGAAGGAATACAACATCGGTATTTTGAAACAAGTCCAAGCGATCTTCGGGCATCTAGCGTACAGCAAATTACAATATTATATACCTAGAGGACTTTGGAAACATTTCAAGTAAGTGTACATTTTTTATGCGAGGCGTAATCACTGGACTGCGGGTTTTACGCATTTATAGAAAATATAAAAGATTCATTCATCCGCAGTCTAGTAATCATATAGGTGTTTCAATACAATGTCGTTATCGGTATCGTTTTCAGACTTCAAGGTGAACCTGTAAATCTTAGAGAACAGCAAGACGCGGTAGAATTTTTCATGAGCCTGGTGGAAAGTTTAGACGAGGCATTGAAAGCCTTGGGACATGAACAGATAATGAGCAAGATTCTCGGTGGTTCATACAGTGACCAGAAAATCTGCAAAGGTTGCCCTCATAGGTACCTTCTTAATTCTTACGTTTTGCCCTTTTCGGTAAACTGTAATACCGCATTACATTATCTTCAGATATTCCAAGGAGGAGCCGTTCAGTCTGATAAGCGTGGATATCAGGAATCACAGTAATTTACTGGACTCCCTTGAACAGTACGTGAAAGGTGAATTACTCGAAGGCGCAGACGCTTATCACTGCGACAAATGTAACAAAAAGGTATGATTCTATTCTATTGGACGATTGCTTACATTACTTGTTTTATTTAAATAAAATTACTGTACTAGGTCGTGACGGTGAAACGGTTGTGCGTGAAGAAATTGCCGCCCGTTTTAGCGATACAGTTGAAACGCTTCGAATACGATTACGAAAGAGTTTGCGCCATAAAGTTCAACGACTACTTCGAATTCCCAAGGGACTTGGACATGGAACCTTATACTGTTTCCGGGCTTGCTAAGCTGGAGGGAGAAGTTATAGACTGTGATTACGAGGAGGCAGTGAAAGGAACTTGTACTAAATATCAATTAACTGGCATTGTGGTACATAGCGGTCAGGCTAGCGGTGGCCACTATTATTCGTATATTTTGCATAGGTAAAGCGAAACATTTGTGTATCGGTACTGTGTTCATTTACATGGTTTTTATATTTTTATTTATTGGTCGTTAGACAAACTGATGGTACTGCTAAGTGGTACAAGTTCGACGACGGCGATGTTACGGAATGTAAAATGGAGGAGGAGGAAGAAATGAAATCTCAGTGTTTCGGCGGTGACTATCTAGGAGAAGTGTTTGATCACATGCTTAAAAGGATGAGCTACCGGAAGCAGAAGCGATGGTGGAACGCTTATATGTTGTTTTATACCAGATTAGATGTAGAAGAAAATTCTCTGATGAAAAGCGTGAACGAATTGTCACTGTGTATGTGTCGGAATTTTTGTTCAACAGACATTTTCGTTGGTATGCGTAAACGCAACGTTTGTTCATTTTCAGATACGAAACTTGGAGTCATGAAGATGCCTCCGGCTATTGAATATAGCGTCAGGAAACAGAATATTAAGTTCATGCACAATCGGAACCAGTTCAGCGCGGAATATTTTCAGTTTATCAAAAAACTCGTGTCTTGCAATCCTCATAACATTAATAGACAAAATATAAGCGAGAAACTCGTAAGTTGTTTTAAAAGGATTTTATTAATACTAGAACTATTAACTTTTTTTTATATATTTCTCCGCTCAAAGCCACCTTTGACTGGTTTTGGTAGTTCCAATGTTAAACTATTACCCGAACGTTTATTACTATTGTTTAAATTTTGCTATTGCAGAGTCCCGAGCAGGAAGAGCTTGCGATGCTTTCCGTACAGCTAGCATCAAGATTTCTGTTTTACACAGGTTTCCACACTAAAAAGACTCTGCGCGGTAATGCGACCGACTGGTACGATATTGTCTGTCACCATCTGCGCAGCAGTAAATCAGTGCGATCCTGGTTTGCTCACAATGTCCTATTCAATCATCCACATAGGTACTATGTTTTCTTCAATATACATGCATGAACGTAGGAAAAGTCGATATTTAACAGAAATTAATTCACTGTCTTCAGATTTTGCGAGTACCTTTTGAGCTGTCCCAGTACAGAAGTTCGAACAGCTTTTCTCAAAATTTTGGTATTTCTTGCACACGTTTCCCTTCAAGACGGTCCATGCGTGCCACCTAGTCTGAACGCACCATGTAAGTTCTTCAGCTACATTTCAAACGATGTCTTCAAAAGATGAAGAATCGAGATCTCAAAGCAAAATTATTGTCCTACAATAATTTGTCGCTGAATCCAAACTTGGGCAATTTTCGATACAACATTCGTGATGCTATAATTCTTTTGAATGGTGTACATATATATTTTATATTATCTTAAATATTTTCAGCCATACTTCTGGATCCAGCAGCTACACTTAGCGATCATTTACTGCACGCCGTTCTCTCTTTACTCCATCGTGAAATCTCGGATCATGGTCGTCACCTACCGCATTATTTCTCTCTGTTTCATACGTATGCATCGCTTGGGCTTGCTGAAAAGGCTCAATTGCTTAAGGTAACTTACAATTTCACTCTACTCGATGCTTGTTCATTTCTTCTCAGTTTCTAATTATTGTTCTATATTATAGTTAAATGTTCCGGTTACATTTATGCTGGTTGCGATCGACGAAGGGCCCGGTCCAACAATTAAATACCAATATCCCGAGCTAACTAAACTGCATCAAGTAGTTAGCATGTTAATACGCTGCTGCGACGTTTCATCGAAAGCGCATTCGAGTCATGCACAGTCGGGAATAGCGCCGTTACCGAACCCATACGGTGACCCGGCTTGCCAGAACGAGTATCTGATTCCTATTCAACCGCAGGCGGCGGATATTCTTTTTGTTAAAAACAGGTAAGATTCGGATGTCAGTACATTTAGAATCAATGATGTACGAACAGGGGAATTGCATTTTTCTCTTGCAGTTATATGAAAAAACTGATTGAGGACGCGGACGTAAATGTCACCGAAGACACTGTGAAATTGCTGCAATACTGCTGTTGGGAGAATCCGCACGCGTCGCGGACCGTCCTCAGCGAATTGTTGTGGCAAATCGGATTTTCCTTCGCTCACGAGATAAAACACCACACGGACCTACTGCTCGCTATACTCCTTATGGAGGATTCCTGGCAGACTCATCGTGTTCACAACGCGCTCAAAGGTACAGACGACTCGCGTAAATGTCGTAGTTCGTAGATCCGAACACTTATTCTGGAGATCATAAAACCTAACCGTTTTTAGGTGTACCAGATGAGAGGGAGGGCTTATTCGAGATAATACAAAGAAGTAAACATCATTACCAGAAGAGGGGCTATCAATGTATCAAATGCATGGTGCAGCTTTTCAGTAAGTGCAGACCCGCGCATCAACTTTTGCATCACAGCTCTGAACTAAAGAGGAAATGGATACACGCTACCGAGTGGCTTCACGAAGAACTTGACAAGGTATTTGAATTATTAATATAATATTATATATTATAATATTATAAGATATTTCAATTTACTTACTTACGATTAATTAATTATAATTTACAGAGACCGTATGCCTCTGCGGCGCCGTATACTCATGCTTACAATAACTGGTCTCCACCCGCTCAATCCAACGATTCCGCAAACGGTTATGTCTTGGAGCGCAGTAACAGCGCGAAGAAAACGCTGGAGAGAGCGTGTGAACTTTGCCCGGACGAGGAACAGGAAGTGGAGGATACAAGCGAGGATTGCTCGGAGGAAACGGAAAAGTACCAGCCACAAAACCGAGAAATTCTACGATCTAGACGTAGTTTAGTATGGGGATGCATAGGGTGAGAATAATTATAACAATCCTCGTTATTAGTATAATGCGGATTTTTATGCAAAATGAAATATTTGTAATGTCAATTTAGAAAATGCCTATAGAAACCTATATTTTCGAGAATATCAAAATTTCTGAGAACTCGTCAACTTTTGATTTGAACGTTCGTGTCCACTTTGCTTACAGTTATCCTGACGTCACCGTATTACAACAAATGCACGATGAACAACAAGCTCAGCCGCGACCGTCTCCGGTTCACACCCCCCTCTGGACTCAATCCTCGGTCATACTTCCCATACCTCCAGCTCATCAGATGCATAGTCCACAGAACTGTGAGTCGTCGCAAAACACCAGTCAGGATCCAGGTTCTACCAATTTGCTGCCTCGGTGAAACCGTTTCAAGGTATTTAGACGTTACTGCGCCAGCAGCTTGGTGCCGAACGATAGAGGCATCTGTACAGATATAACTCGCAGAATTTGTTCTCTTTCGCGGAAGAAGAAAAAAATAAGGAACTGTATTGAGAAACTTGCATTTGCAGTCTGTCAGTTTTACCTGTGGGCAGTTACTTTTCACGAAAACGAGATAACGATGAGGTAAAAGAGAAAAAAATAGACGTTTGCACCATTAAGAAAAATAAAAAAATAACAAAAAAAAATAACAAAAAGAACGATGTTAGAAAGAGAGCAGGCGGTTAATACTACATAAGGACTAGAATTTCTACGTATTGGTTGAGGCAACTAATTTCTCATCGTGGCGTGATTTTTTTTCTTGCTCCTAACGTTCGCGTATCTCTTTTTTTGCATTCGTCTAATCATTTTTCGCTTTTGAATATTTGCGGAGATAAACGAAGGGACGTTTCGGTAGAAGGAAAAATCTTCCGACGAGACGGGCGTGCAGGTAATGATTTAATAATGAATTTTATTTGCCTCGATTAATGCATATGAATTCAAGCGTAGAAATACGATAAGATTGTATAAATGTATAGCGAATAGTGTTATGGAATCCCATCTCTGCCGAATAGAAAACAAAGGTATGAAAAAAAAGAACATAACTTTCCGTATATCTATGTAAATTTGTTACTAATAAAAAGTTCAAAAAAATGATACTTTCTAACGACCGAGAAAATGGGGATGAAAGAAGAATAAAAGGTACAGTAATTTCCAATTACAATCGCAAGGAGCAGAGTTAACGAATCAGAAAAAAGAAATGCAGCTATCGATATTTCACTCTTTCAGTCTTTCAAGACCAGTCGAACGAAAATTTTTCTTGTACTTAATCTCGAGCATCAAAAAAAGGAGAAAAAATATGACAAAAGGAGGAAGGAGAATATGGAAGGAAAGTCACTTCTCTAGTGCAGCGATTTCGCGCTGCTTAAGAATTTAAGACGTACACCAATGATGCCTCCCATTGTGCTTTCTTTCAGTTCAATCAATTTGAGAAAGAGAGTTGTGCCTTGGATATCGTGCGACTCCGTATTCGTATTCTTAAGTGGAGAGTGTTTTTAGGATCGAGTTATTGCTTCAAGTTTTCATTGCTTATATTTTTGTCTGTTACGTTTCCCGACTATTTATAAGAAATTATAATGGAACAATTCGAGATTTAAGTACGCGACGCAGCTGACTGTTAAAAAACAAATTACACTGATGAGAACGACATGCGTATGACACCTCCCAATCGAATCGACGTAAAATAACGTGGAAGGTCGATCCGTCTTTGTTTTTAAGTCTAAGGAGTCGCGGCGCCGCGCGGGGAAGGAAGTAATAAAAGCCTTGTCCGAAATCCAAATTTTTATAAAGCGAGGAAGTATGAAAAATGGAATTGAAGAAAGCGTGACGGTAGCGACACAGGAGAGTATGGGAGGAATATTAAAAGGAGGAAAAAAAGAAACAAAGAAGATGAATTACTAATTTGTATCGTTTTAAGGTACGATCGATCGTTAAGAGAAAAGAGCTGTGGTCTTTTCGCAGTATTGTGTAAAGCAATTTTTAGTTCCCGGTAGATAAGAGAGAGAATGTTATGTGTACTGCTTGTGTAACTGTTCGGCACTCAACGTCGGGTATTAAACGCGTATAAAACGAAGGGAGACGAGAACAATGATGCGACTGCGATCCTTTGAACTTATGAACTGGCCATAGCTCTGACTTATTAATATAACATGTGTTATATAGATATTATATAAATAATACTAAAGAGGAGAAAAGAGAAACTAGAGTCACGTGTAAGGATATAAAAAAGCGAACCGTGTGTATACATAGGAATTCGTACGCGATGAGGCAAACCAACGATCATGTCATACCGATTAATTGTTCGTATTTATCAAATATCCACGTTAAACAGTGTACCAAATTATATAATAGCTATTATCGGTTAAAGAAAAAAAAAAGAAGTAATAATAATAATAATGGTACCTAATCTTACTCGGACATGTACATACGCAACTGCTTTTTATATGTGATAAAAATTATTATATTCCTATTATACATTGTGGTTAGTACGCAACTGTAAATCCTGGTTTTTTGTACACAGACTGTATGCTATGTTCAATTTTTTTTTTTGTTAACGGAGAGAGTGTAGTTTATAATTATTTAATATTTAATTGTATCGCTGATGGACAAGAAAATATGAAAAAAATAAGCGTAACACACACACACACACACATACACACATACACACACACAAACGTCTTGTATGATATAATATTATAACTTGATTACTTTCATCATAACGATATAATAATATTCAGAAACATGTCGAAACATTTCGAAGTTTGTGTCATGATACAAAAAAATATCGCTATATAGTGTCATTTTTCTTTTCAACTTTCTTTCTCTCTTTCGCATTTCGTTCTCTTCTATATGTTTTTTTTTTTTCGTTTCCCTCGAACGAGCGATTATTACGAAGTCAGAGAGCCGAGAACGAACGCGAAGTGTGACGACACACAGCCGGGAACATGGTTTGAATCCACGATTTGAAATGAAAATTAATTGTCTGCAACCAGACCGAGCGAATCCGCAGAGTACATTTCATATTTAATTAATTGCCCGCGAGGAGCGGCGGGACATACGAGAGTCGATCGGTGATTGGCGACTAATTTCGAAAGCATGCTTGTGTTTCTTTTTATTCACGAAAGTGCAGAATGGGCCGGATGCGAGGCACCCTTTTCACACGGAGCGTTTACTATACGAGCTAATGAAACGAAGCGAGGGCAGGAAACGTTCTTTCAAATCTCGATGGCCAGCGAAAGTGCTCGAGAGGCGTTGCGAATCAAAATAATCAAAGGCAAATGCATGTGAAAAGAGGAAAGTAAAAGTTGTACAGTTGTATGCTTAAGCAAGATGAAAAACGTGAAATAAACAAGAAGAAAAAAGGAACGAGAATCGATTACAATTCGAACTTACACAACGCGGATTTTCGTGAAACGCGTTGCATATAAATAGACTGGGAATAAAAAGACAAACGACAGGAAAAAGAACGATTAACATACGAAGAAAAGTATCCCTCGTCGATGTTCGTTTAGTTTTAGTTGTAAAGCTAATTTTATGTATTAACTCGATCGACGCTCTAGTCAGTAAAATTAAATAAACGGAAGGAGATTAACGAACCTCGTTCATTTAATAGCGTAGCGCATCTCTCGAAATTAATTCATTAATTCTACGAGACGACAAGACGATATTCGATGACCGATCGTCTTCGTTTTTTTCATTCAAATACGAGAATATTAAGGATGTATAGGCTATACATTTAAACAATGCTAGCATGTTGAATTTGTTATTATAGATTCCTATTACTATTAAAAGCCTACCTGCAAAATTTTAAATCAATTCATGGGATTTTTGAA